CGGTTCTGGAGCCGTGCCAGGTGCAGGGTCTGCTGGCTAGTTGCTGGCAGGCTTGCACCTGGCATGGGCACCGTATCCAGCCCGTGCCCCTTTAAGGACTCCAGGGCCAGGAGGGGGGCAGAAGAGTTTCCCTGGTGGTGCCCAGAGTGGCCACCAGGGAAAGCTGGGGAGGGCTAGCCTCCCACTAGTTCGAATTAAGTGGCTACACAGCCCTTAATTCAAACTACTTAATTGAACTAGGCGTTAGTCCTCGTAGAATGAGGTTTACCTAGTTCGAATTAAGTTCGAACTAGCGGTTCGCGTGGGCCAGGAGGGGGGCAGAAGAGTTTCCCTGGTGGTGCCCAGAGTGGCCACCAGGGAAAGCTGGGGAGGGCTAGCCTCCCACTAGTTCGAATTAAGTGGCTACACAGCCCTTAATTCAAACTACTTAATTGAACTAGGCGTTAGTCCTCGTAGAATGAGGTTTACCTAGTTCGAATTAAGTTCGAACTAGCGGTTCGCGTGTGTAGCGCCTATCAAAGTTAATTCGAACTAACGTCTGTTAGTTCGAATTAACTTTGTAGTGTAGACATACCCTGAGAGAGGCCAGCACCACAGCGTCAGTGAGAATGTACTGAACAGGGCAGCTGGAGAGCCTGAGGGATTCTGGCTTATTTAGTCTGCAGAAGAGAAGAGTGAGGGGGGATTTGATAGCAGCCTTCAACTCCCTGAAGGGGGGTTCTAAAGAGGATGTGGAGAGGCTGTTCTCAGTGGAGGCAGATGACAGAACGAAGAGCAATGGTCTCAAGTCACGGTGGGGGAGGTCTAAGTTGCATATTAGGAACAACTATTTCACGAGGAGGGTGAAGCACTGGGATGGGTTCTCTACAGAGGTGGTGAAATCTCCATCCCTAAAGGTTTTTAAGTCCCAGCTTGACAATCCTCCCAGCCAGAATTTTTAGCATGGGGTTGGACTTAATGACCTCCTGAGGTCTCTTCCAAATGGAGGATTCTGTGATCTATCCCTGCTTCCCTTTGCTGTTTCTCCCTAACTCTCAGGTGACCTTGACGTAAGGTGGGATGTCTTTTTAAATGGATGCAGCCCAATTTAGGACAGCCCAGCACCAGAACTTGGAGCATCTTAACAGCTCTTATCTCTGCTTCTAGTTGAACAGTGACCTGCCTTGACAAATTCCATTCCAAATTGCTCTCAGGCTTGTACAGCACAACCAGTATCAGGCGAGTTATAGGGGATGTAAGTGAGGAAACCGTCTGGTATAGGGGGAAGGGTGTGCAGCTCTTTTTTCCCCTCCCCTAGGAATCAGCCTTGTAAAGTCAAACTTCTGCTTATTTATCCGAGCAGTGGCAATAGCTTACTTGGCACTATTAAGGCCTCTCAGCCACTGGTATGCTTGAAGGATCAGAGTGGCTCTGCCTTTAAGAGAAATGCATATTTAGGAAATTTCATAAAGTACATTTCCCTCTGGTCTCTTGCCATCAGCCACACATCCATAACAGCTCATTTCTGGACATCTTTAAAGCAGCCCTGTTCTAAGTCAGGTTGTGTTCACAGCCACCTGTACATTCAAAAAATAATTCCATACCAATGTTTTGGCTGCACAAAGCAGCAACTGTGAAAGTTTAAGACCACAGCTACAGTTCAAAAGCACTGTGTGTCCCACCTTTCAATGGATCTATGGTCAATAACGGCTCTAAAATAACAATGTGTAGTCCTGGGTAATGCATACAACTCTATCCCATTACAGAAAACATGGATACATTGTATTCACCTTCAAAGGAAGGCACTGGCCCCTGTGGTACTCGAACACAATCTCTTTTGCGAGGACTGCTTAGAGATTGCCCCAACATGACTTCAGGACAGCACTGTCTGTATCACAACATGACTCTTTTGAGCAGCTGTAATCGGACGATTCATTCTCTCTTCCTGCTTGTGAGTATCCCTCTGGCTCCTAGGCTCTTTGAATGAAACAAGGACCCCCTTATGTGCCTCTCCTTGCTGAAATACTGCATGTGATATGTGGCGCTGATTATAAAGATGAAGGTCTTGTATAATGCAATCCAGGGACCACACATTTCCCAGCAGTGGCCCATTTCCCCCAGTGTGAGAGTGACTGAGAAAAACCGGTAACACTGTAGTGCAGAGAAATGCCGGCCACAGTCTGACTTTCCCTGATGCTTTGCTGTTGCCCAGACATCTCAAGGGAACCATGGCAATGTGCTGTGCATTAAGCTGCTTGCCCTGAGCATCAGAAGAGATACATTCTTTTGGGTTACACTCTTCCAGTCACTGACTAAGAAATCCTCATCTCTGCGGTTATTGCTCTAGAGTTTGGCACATCCAGAAATCAACGTCTTCCTACCCATCTTACTCAGGAAGTCCACATTGTGGTTGTATTACTTTTACTGAGCCACAGGAACTGTCAAGCCCAGATATTTGGCCATCTCACCATTTTATCTCCGTTCAAGTGGATTAGGTGGAGCAGCTGTCCCGGTATTATTGCGCCAGTCCCAATCGGATGGGCTTTGTTTCCTATAGGCACCTATTCCTCTCTCCTCCCCACGCTACCCTATTTTTCACACTTGCTGTCTGCTCTTGCTCTTACAAAAACTGAGGCAAAGTCAAATCTGGCAGTTCCGCCATCAGTTTGACTCCCGCTGAAGTCGGTGAGAGCTGAGTCTGTGCAACCGAGATCCTCTGCTACAAACACCTTCCAATCTAGTCTGCGACACAGCCGTACCTTCTGATCCAGGCGAGCTGACTGATGGCATGACCGCATGTGGCGCTCTCAATGAAAAGCGCCCGCTTGTACGATGGCACAGTAACAAAGTGGTCAGTCCCACCTGAACACTCCTGCCCCCTCGGATGTGTGTTGATGTTCATTAGCAATAAGAATAAAGGGACACGTTTTCTAGCTACACTTTGTGGACACTCTCCAAGTGGCCGAAAGAGAGCGGAGAATGCTCACAAACGCCGAGTGCACAGAACTGGCAAAGCCAGCTCCTTTGCCTCCTGACTGTGCATCCGTTGAAGCAAGGGGCATAACAAAAAGGTGCCAGGAAGGAACAGCGGCTAGAGTGTGATGCTCCCTGCAGTTCCCAGTTGGCAGATTGTTCCTTGGGAGCCACCAGTTTGTTAGATTCTACTCTGAGTGCAGTCAGCAAATGGGGGAAGCTGCTGCAGCTCCCAGCCTGGCCCCACGTCCCTGCTATGCTTAGCAGAGAACTTGTCCCATCAAGTCTGGTGACACACAAGCTGTGTGGCCCCATTGAGTGGCTTAGCTAAAAGTTTCCAGAACCTTGAAACCTGACGAACAGCCGAAGAGCTCATCATGCGTCAACTTTCATTTTAAAAAGCAAATGCTGGTGAGTTCCCCACGTCGAAGTGGAAGGAAATGCGTAAACGGGCCTTTAACAAAGGGGGGACTGTTAAAAAGTGCATTGCAGCTTGGACACCAAGGGAGAATGTCGCAGGGCTGCCGGTGCCTGGAAACAGGAGCTGGTGGTAGAAAGACCACCATAACCTTAGCAAATACCAGAGCAGGAAGGTGTGTATGGGGACTGATGGTGTATTGTTCCACAGCAACTCCTGTTGCTGTGCTTGAACTATGCAAGAGCAAGCATCAGCACTTGTAACTGGAGGTGGCAGGGGCAGCTGCTGAATGGATGATTGGATCAAAGAAAAGCAGCCTTTCCCAGGATACCACCAGACTTTTATGCAGAGGAAGTTCTCTCTCCCTCCTTTCCTTTCCAAAGCGGGGTAGAGCAAGGTGTTATGCAGCACAGCACTCTATGGGTTCACATACACAGCTTTGCCAATGCACCTAATCCCAACTAGCCCACTCCTAGGTCACCTCTCTAATCTGGCCACACTCCTCCCCGATCTCTAATGCTAGTGCTCCACCATGTGGGGCTCTGTGGAAAGTCAATTTGATGAGAGAAAAATATTTTTCAACAAAAACCTCCAGGCTTTCACCTTTCATCTCCTCCTTTCACCTATAATACAGCGCCACTCAACGTCATTTGATCGTAGGCAAGACCGTGTGTCAAAGAAGAGACTTCTCAAATACTTTATTGCTGCTCAAAAGCACTTTGCCTACAAGAAACACAACGCAGTTTGAAAAATGAATGCATTACCTTGTCTCATAAATCCACAGGTTTGTACGGCCAAGAGGCACCTTGATGATCAGAGAATTTCACCTAATGATTCCTGCGTCAAGCCCATAAGTTAAAATTGTTTTAGGCAGACCTCTCATCTTGATTTAGAGAATTCAAGTGATAGAGCATTGACCCCATCCGTAGGTAAATAGTTCCAGAGATTAATTATCTTCTCTGTAAAAACGTGTGCCTTACTTCTAACCTGAATTACCGGAGCTTCAGCTTCTAACATTCAATCTTGTTGAGCCTTTGTCTTGTAGACTGTGGCACCTTGTACTATTGGAAGGCGTTTCCCTGTGTAGGTATTTATTATAATCTCATATTTTAGTTTGTTAGTCTAACTAGATTGAATTTGCTTGGGTTCTCACTACAAGGCATGTTTCTAGACCTTAGATCATTCTTGTGGCTATGGCCCTGTGGCTCTGATTGTTGTCTGTTTCGTGTGCATTGATTCTTTGGCGAACCTTCCCCCCTCGCTCCTCCTCTGTTCTTAAATCTGAAGCGTCAGTTTTATATGTGTTCACTTTTTTTTTAATTGTATCCTTTGGTATATAGGGTCGTGCCAATTTTCTTCCACAATTTGATCTGAGGAAGTGGGTCTGGCCCACGAAAGCTCATCCCCTAATAAACCATCTTGTGAGTCTTTAAAGTGCTGCACAGTCCTGTCTTGTGTTTCCCCAGCTCTCACATTTCACTGGTGTGACTTGAAATTACAGTCAGAGAGCAGAGCTCCCGTCTCCTTCCGCCTACTGTTAATCACAGCAGCACCTTGCACTGACCAGGGCCCCCACAGAGCCCCATGTCCCTGCCTTACGAGGGGCACCTCATAGACTTTAAGGTCAGAAGGGACCATTATGATCATCTAGTCTGAGTGCTTTTGCGGAAAAGCATCCTGCCAATCTAGACGCGATTTTTCCAAAAATGCTTTTAACGGAAAACTTTTCCATTAAAAGCATTTTCGGAAAATCATGCCCGTGTAGACGTAGCCGATATCTAGTTTAATCTTGAAGCCAGATCGATCTTTTGCCCCCCACTACTGCCCTTCTATGCACCTGCCCTACAGAGTGCAGGGGGAGCTGGCTGTATGGGCAGTGGAAGGGGGGAGCTGACCCTGTGGCTGGGGGAAGGGCAGGTGTGTCTAGGGAGGGGGGGG